ACTGTACAATCTCCATTTATATCTGCTTGACTCAATATAGCAAGCTCAGAGGATGTTTCGCTATCTGTCCTACCTTTGTCCAGGGCAGATATGAAAACCCAGCAGCCTTCCCCTTTGAGGATACATTTTTTATTCAAAATTTCAAGATTAATGGATCTCAAATTGGGAATGATTCTGAAGCAAGGAATTATCAGATAATGGGATCTAACTATGCTCAGAGTTACGCCTCAGGAGCAGCAGGGCCCTCAGTGCCTAAAATAAGATCTCCTTTAATTCCGCATTGGGCTTAACGCAGCAGAACGTGTGAGCTACCCTATAATTTTGGTGTACCGTAGCTTTCACTGATGACCCAAATAATCTATGCCAAAGAATGCACAGGGACAGCAAAGCAAAATTTCTGACAGAAAGCCTTCACAAATGCCGCAGCAGAACCAGAGATATCTCCTTCATGTATGTCTTTTTTTATTCCTTGCATTTTTCTTCCGCGTCAAAACAGGGTGTCTACATTACTCACAATGCAACCCCAACGCCAACAGCTCAGGTGGAGATTTGGGTTTGTTATGCTAGTAGCCGCCAATGTATCCTTGAGCTGCGAGCCTGAAGCAGCGATGAGGAGTGGGCTACAAGCTCACATCTATCACACCTCCAGATTTTTTTCATTTTCAGACTTCAGTGGTTTTGGCTGACTCAGGTGACATCACATATTTTCATGCAGATGCCAGTGCCTGCTGTATCTCACGTGCAGTTAGCAGCTTACTGGAGCCTTAGTATCTACAAAAATCTACTTGCAATAATTGCATGTTAAATTCTAACTTCATTTTTCAGTTAATTTGAACTCAGCAAAACTTCATCAATTTATGTTTTGAATCAGTTTTCATGAAAAACCAAGGATCACTTAACTCTCTCAACTCTCTTAGGCTTCTTCAGAACTTCAGTAGTCACACAAGGTTTTACTTTCTTCCTTGTTGCCAAGTCATGTAGAAATAAATGCTATCTGCTCATGTTGCAACTTTTTTAAAATTTCCTGTATTGTTCTTACTCGCAGAAAACCAGCCACTGATCTGAATCTACTGCAGGTAATACACTGACTATGTATAACTACTTCACACAACCCCACATCAAGTAACCCGAACTATCACGTATATAGTACAATGGATGGGTATAAAATTCCACAGAGCCGTGAATCCAAGATTATTTACAGGATGTTTTATGTTTAAGCAAAAAAGAGATCACTAAATTTATGAACATATGCATGCAGAAATGCATTATTCATAATTCAGATGGGCTAAATGGCTCAGCTACATAAAGGGAAATCATGGAGGCAGTGGATAAAATTAATATATAAAGGCATAGTGTAGATGTGTGGATTGGCTTTAACGTGATTATATGTTTAGACATACATGCTCACCCAGATTTATACAGAATGCTTCTATAAGTAAAAATATATCTCTTCTGTCTTTCCTGATTTATTAATGTAAATGCTCAGTGGGGCTTTAATGAGCATTTTCTTTGCATTTTTTCCACTGTATTACAATCAATATGCATGCCATGATAAACAGTGCTACATGGCTTGATTTTTAAATTGTAAAGCAAAAAAAAATCTCTTTTTAGCATGGTTACTGTATTTTTACTGTTTATTGTATTAGATGTGATTTTTGAGTGGAATATTTATGTGTAATTTGTATTTATTTATACCAAATTTATTTTTACAGCTATATCATACAGCCTTAACATCTGTACAGTTAATAAAACAAGAAAAAAGAATTAACACTGTGGTGTGGATCCATTTAGATTTTAGCTTTAAAGTGTTAAAATGAACTCTGATCGTGTTAATTTGTGTTTGCTCTGTGTATGATGCAGACTCTAAGCCTGCAGTGCTTCCAGCCATTTTTAAGCAGATTAAATCTGTAAATGTGAGTCCGTCCACAGTCCTCCTGTCTGGCTGTTTCACAGAGCAGCTCAGACATGTATATGTAGAGCACATATTAATATCGGCCAGTCTCCTACCTCCCATAAAAAATGCAAAATCCAAAGAAAGTAAAGGTATCCACGAAGAATTTCAATTCATTATGTCAGCCACTGCCAGACACAGTGAGCGACATGACAAGACATGATTTACTTTTGCTAAAAAAATATTTCTTCAACCTTGAAGAATGCTGAAATTTATGTGCCACTGTATCTAATATAAAGCCGCTGCACCTGCCTGGCATAATGAGCAGAGAGAGGCCCGTGATATTAACAAAGGAATTGATATCAAATATGAATGTGACAAATATTACATATTTCATCATTACAGGAGGTGCAGGTTGGTGTCTCACTTTTATAAATTCCACCAGTTTGTCTTATTCTTAGATAAACCCACCAGGTCACATAGCAGCGCAGCATTCAACATTCATCAAAGTGTTGCTTTCTGAAGCATGTATTTCATTACAGCCTCCCCGCAATGACAATCTTATCTCCTGCACACACTCAGCGGGGAGCGGTTGCTACACTGTTAATCATTAATCGTTAATAACCTGAGATTGCAACTGTGTAGGGGCTTCAAAAACCAAATAAATATCAATTTTCCTGCGCCTCCCCTCTGCAGCAGTGTGACTGAAGTGTGGCATACAGTGGGTCCTAATTACCACACGCTCCCATTTCCTTCCATTAATCCTGTTTATTTACAGAGTATGTAGAGGGAAACGGGTCATGTTTGCAGCAGGATGGACATCCTCTGTCTCAGGGATGGATGGATACAAAGCATTGGAGGAGATGGATTGTGAACATTTAGCTGATGCAATACTGCATTAATGACGGGCAACATTTTCATATCCTCATATTAAAGCGGAGTAAAGCCGTGGAAATCAGATTCCATCACTCCTCTGGTGGAAACTGCTCGCTTCTTAACTCCTCATAAACCAACATGGTGTGAGGGGATGGGAAACAGCTGTCAAGTGCACTATACAGTATGATACAATTATGTTTGCTTTAACAGTAATGCGAACCAGCAATACATTTCAGCTGAAAATGTACAGCACCCCAGGGGGAACGCCGTGCCAATGAATCACAGCGCTGCATCTGCAGCTGAGAGCTGGCAGCATTGTCTCTGGCTCAGTATGCACAGGCAGCGTGTACAAGGTCATTGAGGGAGACTCACCACAACATCTACAGGAACCATCCGTCTCACTTATCACTGTATGTGGCATGGTGAATAATTATATTATGATAAATAGGGAGCTTCACCCATTCTAACAAATAGATAGTGTAGATACCACAAGTGAATCTATCTGAATAAAGGAGCAGTGCAGAGTGTTTGCAAACATACAGAAGATAATAAATGCATGTGCACTCACACACATAAAGAAATCCAAGCAAAACGAACAAGCCTCTTGGAGAAGCCTGTCATCTCCTCCATCGCTATAACCCTTTACACAGCATCTGCTTGTAGAAAAACTAGTAGAAAACTGCTACTTTTCATTGACTCCTGTAAATAAAATCTCATGCAAAAGCATATCTGAAGCACCAGCACATGGGGGGAAAAAAAAAAAAAAAAAAAAAAATGAAGGCAGCAGGTTATCAAAGGAGGCAGGAGGCGGGGATGTGGGTGAGGGTATGTGCGGAAGAGAAGAGAAAGGTATGTGAAATTCAAACAACGACAGCAAGTGAACTAACTCAAAGGAAATTTGCCGACATAGCCTCGGTGTGTACAACTGGAGGGGTGGTGAGGGGCTAGAACTGTAGAGGAGCCTATACAGAGGTGAATGGGTTATGTGGGGGCATGAAAGGCACGTCTATTTTTGGCCAAGAACAGATGGGGAAACAGATGAAGGAACCACCAGGGGAATCAGTTATTATCAGTAATGCACCTAGACAACAATGCAACTTCCTCCCTGATGCTTGCTGGCGGGACGGCCCAGCTCGCACAGCCTCCAGGTCTCTAGTTCCCATTCACGCTATAAAACAGTCGGCCAAGAGGCAACAAGTAAGGTACATCAAATTATCCCTTTGTAAAGGTCACAAGGTCACGGTGGTTGTTGGCTAATGGCAGTATGTTTATGCTATCCTAGACAGGGTCAAACTCATGTCATCTTCATAAACCAAGAGAGACAGAGAGCTTCTTACACCAGTCAATACATAAGTTAAATACACGTTCCGACATATATATCTGACGTATTTAGGCCTACACTGGTAGTTGTTCATAACTAAAATACCAAACACCAACCAAAAAATGTATTCATGTTTGTTTACATCCGAACTATCTAGTTATCCAAAAAGGATGAAATGCATCCAGGGGCACTGTAAACAATTTATAACCAAAACTATTCTCAATGCTCTCCTCCTCCATCCCTCCTCTTTTCCCTTCATCTCTCCCGGTCCCACTCCTGCCTCCCAGGTTGTTTTCCTGGGAACAAAAGCTACACTTCATCTTCAAACACTGGCAGCATGACAGGCTCAAATTAGGTGTCAATTACATCTATTTGAATGACTTGTTTGCTGGTAAACTTAAGCAGCAGGCAGACATTGGACTGAGACCCCCAGAAGTAATTTCATATTGAAAAATAAGCCCATAGCCCGCAAGTAAAATAATGTTGAAATGCTCAACATTTGAGTTCCCTCTTTAATTACCCTCTTTCACGCCTTTCCCAGCGTTTGGCTCTCTCTCGTTGTAAGTGTGTACGTGCTGGACAGGTAATGTCATTTTAAATTGGGATGTCTTTTGATTCAGCTCTAACCAAAGCCCATTACTCACAATTTAAAAAGGAGATGTAAGAGAAAAAAAGCTTATTAATGAGAAACCCTTTACTAATAACAAGGGTCATGTTGCTGAAAAGTGCTGTCTCAGTTAGAATTGGTACATAAAAATGCTTAGGGCATACTAAACTGAATATCTCAGCGATAATAATCTTACACGACATGCCTTTGTACAGAAAACATAAAAAGCGAAGCATAAAGGCAAAGGTGAGAAAGGACAAAGAAACAGCTTAGACCTTCTTGTGTTAGACATGACCTTTTCTTACCAGCCAGTGTTGAACTCGACATGGGCATCAAAGAAGCCAACGACAGGAGCCGTGGCCGCGTTCCAGCCGTGTATTCTGGCTCGGATCAGGCCCTCCCGCTTGCTGTTCCTCACAATCTTTACCAGGCCTGGGTAGCGTTTGTTCACATACTGGTCCAAGTTGAATTTCAGCTCCACTGAAAGAGGGCAGATAAGAGAGAATCCTCTTTTAAATGACATCCAAATGACTGTGTGAGATCATTAACCAGGCAGCTGTAGTCAATGATAAAGTGCTTCCAAGATAACCCAGCGCTAATGTTGAATGGTTTTGGCCTTGCAGTCTTTGTGTCAGGGCTGTAATGAGAATGACTGCTCATTTTGATGCTCTTTGATTATTGTTACACTTTTAGCTCAATAAGTGCACACTTCATATTAACCAATGTTGGATGCTTTAATTGCAAAATTTAATAAATGACTAATTATGAGTTACATTACTCATTACCTTTCTTTTGTTACTCAGCAAAGGGGCCTAAAACAACAACAAAGCCTGCACACATCACATATTCAGTATTTAGCACTTGTAGGAGTGGAAAACAATACATTATATTTAACAAGCAGCCAGCTTTTGGTTTGGAGGAATTTAATAGCTAGCTTAACAGTAGCCCCACTAGTCTCATCCTCATAATGAAGCTGCAGGGTTTACACACCCTCCAACTCTGACCAAAACCTAAACCTGTATTCATCTATGTGGCTAGCTTTAGCAAGGCTGCTGAGTAGACACAATATGTCATTACATTTCTCCTCTTTTGGTACAGGCTAGTCATCTCTCCACACCTCAATCCCCTGTGACAAGCTCATATAGTTTCAGACCAAACAACAACAGCTTTTGTAAGTTGCTGTGCAGAATGAAGAGCAGCACATAACAACTAACTAGGGTATGGACAACATCTGAATGTAAGTAACCACAATATCAATTTTCTCACCTGGAGTTACAGGACTCTCAGATACAGAAAGAAAACATGGTGAAGAATCAGTGTAGTGTGTTTTTCTGCCTGACAGTGTTGCTGCTTTCTCTTTTGTAAATACTGGCCCCGCTCAATGTTTAACCTGTGCTTGTGAGTATCGGACCAGTCTGTTCCCTGAACTCGTAGAGACCAAACTGATATAAAGCAGACATCAAATTCACAGTATGACCCCCAAACAAGCCCACAGCTAAATTGTGAAGCAAAGAGGTGTTACACCACGTTACCGCCAAACACTGATTGTAATTGGCAACTTTACACACATGGCAGTCACACCAAATAGTGAGAGGAAAAATAATGAGGAAGTTTTGTTCAGCAACTCATTGTTTCTCTTTAGAAAAAGCAAACCTTTCTGATGTGAAAGGTAAAACTGCATGAAATCAAACTATAAAGGAAGTAAGGCGGTATCTATCTGATTAGTCTAAATGTGACTATGTTCAAGGTTATGATACAGGCTGCAGTACAGTATCACTATCTGCATTCATGCATTCCTTTGTTCATGTCTTCATTCCAGCTGGATTGTAACATCTCTCCTCCTCCCCTCTCACGGATGACACTGGCTGTCATCAGTGGAAACAAAGTTTGCCAGATTTCAGCCAGTTGCACAAATTGCTGTCTGGGTTTTGTTGGAGGATAGACGGCTGTTTGAGCTTCTCCGCTGGGTTACTGCTGAGCACTCCACTTTCTGAGGGAGAGATTAATAAGGATGCTTGTGGCACATTGAGCCGCATCCACACCTCGCTTCTGACTTTGGCTCACAACATAAATCAGCCAGTCTAAACCCCCATCTGTGTAACTGAGGAGACGCAGTGAGTGGAGGGATTGTTAGGATTCTGACGTTTTTCTTGCTGCTGCAGAGAAAGGGGGAGAATTTGGAAGAAGTTACCCTGGACATAAAAGGGGCGTTCGCCACTCACACCATATTAAAACAGCAATTGAATTATGGTTCTTTTATATTTAACATGAACAAATTGGCAGCACAGTGGTTAGCATGGTGAGAGGTAGGTAGTGGATTTGAATCTGCTGACCAGCTGGCTGCAGCATTTCTGTGTGGACTCTGCATGTTCTCCTCTTGTCCGTGTGTTTTTTCTCCCACTGTTCAAAGACACGCTGCCTGCAGATGCTGCTGTCTGTTTAATTGCACATAAGCGCAGTTTTTTTGAGGTACTTGTACTTTATCCATTACATCATCACTTTACAGGTTTGGATCTTATATTAAAAAACTCCTAAGCATATGAAATACAATGCACTGTTAATCATTGCTCTCTCCCTCGTTGGGACCCGTCACATTTCAAATGTCTATTAGCAGAGAGATATCCCCTCTAAACTTCTCAGATGGTTTCACTTAAATGACTGTTCGAGGCCAGAGGAGGTTCAATTATCCAATATTTTATGGCTTTTCTCTCCCCCCCCCCCCCCCCCCCCCCCTAATCATTTCATGGCCCTCAGATTTATCTTGTGACCCACTGGAGGGGGGCCCTACCCCCAGGGTTGGGGAATCACTGGAATGAAATACTGAACTGTATATACAGAAGTTCAAACTAGCTCTGCCTGCCGCAACAGTAAAATGCCTCTTGCACACTAATGCATCAGTATCGAGATTTGTTTGATGTAATAATTCTGTGGAACAACTACTTTTATTTATGATGCTTTAAGTGTATTGTGCTGATAGTTCTTCTCTACTTTTACTTAAGATGGATTGTGAATACAGGGTTTTGACTTGGAGATTTTACACTGTTTTATTGGAACTTTGAGTTTAGTTAAATTTACTGAACTAAAGGATCTGAGTACTTCTTCCACTGGGATGATTTTAGAGCATTTCATCTTTACAAACTGAGAAGATGTTGAATTACTTTTGTGCAAAGGAACGTTTGGTGTTGGGTGACCTCTTCCATCCACAAGTAGCTACAAATCATAAGAAAATTATGAATACAACTTAAACAAAAAGTTTGAACTGCAGAGTGTCTCATGAATGGCAGGTAACTCTCCATCCAGGGAGAGCTGGACTCATCAAAGTTACACCTTTCATCTCTTTGATATCCTCTGGTACGAAGCATTCCTTAGTGGTGGATAAAAATTAGCATGCTGTTAGCATTTAGTACCAATATCACGTAAAATAGTTATTGAATAATGAGGTTAATTTTTACTGAATTCCCATTAGGATCGGTCACTGTTAGAAGCTGAATTGTGATTCGTTGAGAGACCAAAGACCTTTGCAGTTTGGTTCTGTTTACACCGTTGAAGGTTTCAAACCTGTGCAATGGGACTCCTTCATCATCAGTGTACCCTGCAGCGACAATATGATAAAAGCTATTAGAGTGTAATAATTACTGGGCTTTGCTGGGAAGGAGAAAAGTTATGGGCCTCCCTCTGATCCTAGCAAATAAAACGTTGGACCGCATCCATGGGAGGAGAGTTATGGACCCGGGAATACATTTTAAAGGACTGGCAGTGCAACATAGCAGAGGATAAATAAGTATCCATCATACCATAAATCTAAAATTAATACACAGTAGACTTGGCAAAGAGCACCATGAATTCCTCTGGCAACATGTAAGATTATGGGTATGGCTGTGTTAAGGAAAGATGGTTGAGAGGTATCGCACATGCTATAAATTATTCAAACTGTGCTCAAGCCTTATAATTCACTCACATGTTGCAAAGCTTGAATTATGTCCTCCTACATAATGCCACCTATGTGTTCATTAACCAGCAGTATGCCTGTATCCAACATAACCCGCAGGATTTTGAGTTAAGATCAGCCTCACAATACCTGCCAGTTGGGTTTTGCTGTGTTTTCACAAACGTCTGGTTCAGTAAAATGATCTCCTTCACAGAAAAGAGATGTACCTCTGCTACACAAACCACAGGCTACATTCTTCTAGGGCTGGATTTATGGACTTGTCTCAGACACCGATACGGGAACAGGTCTGAAATTGATCGCTTTGATCGATCACAAGTAGACTAGAGAAGTTACTTAACGGGTAAACTGGCTCACCGCAAGTCATGTGATGTTCATTAAATATTCAAAGAAAACACACACAAAAAAAAACAACTGTCGCCAAAAGTAAAACGATACTCCTCATCCTGGGAAAAGAGCTTCTCAGGAACAACATCCAAATGCGCTGCTGCAGTGTAAAAGGTTCGGCACTAGACCTGTGTGTTGCAGAAATAATCTGTACAGCGGCATGTCAGCAATATATATATCCATATATAATATGGAAGTTATCCACCTCTCACACATTTATTGGAAACAGCACATGGTAAACTGGTTCATGTTTTCTGACTCCTCCACCCTTAACCCCTTCTTAACAATGTTACATCCACTTAATTTAAAATTCTGCTTTCTCTGAATGACTGGCAGATCAATTATGAAAACAACCATCTGGGATACACACTAACTTGAATTCAATTCCCTTTCTCTGCTCTCTGTCTAGTCATGGCCCCTCTTCAGTGCTTTTAACATATTAATTCTAATGCGAGGTGATTATATAACCTACTCTATAGATGTAAATATACCGTACATTCTGCTTTCTGACTGCATGTGCGAACTGAGTGCTGTGTGTGAAGTTTTACTGGGGGGTATGTGATTGTTTCAAAAACACATACAATGTGTTTAACAACACAAAAGTGTCTTTAATTGTTTTTTGCGAGCGTCCCACTGTCTACCAAATTTCCTTCACCATTCTGCTGAGCACATCCTCTTTTCAGAAGCTTTAATCAGATTTAATGTATGCAATGTTTAAAGTGATTCAGCTGCAGTTGAAATTTATATTACAAGCTGTACTCAACTGGTCCTCAGTTTATATCCTGTTTTCATTATATGAATCATTAAGTTATCAATTTGGTGGTGGTATTTGCTGGAATTGAATCCTGTAGGGCTCATTAAGCCTTTCCTTGCTGCTAACATGGTGAACAACAATGAGTTGAAGTCATCTCACAGCAGAAGCTCATCAATGGGAATGTGAATTAAGTTCAGACTGCTGGAAGCAGTGCTGTGAATAAACCTCTCAGCCACCAATAAATGTCACCGGCTGTCCCAGCAAAGGAAATGTGTCGCAGCGACAAGGCAAACATGCTTCCTGTGCGTGATTCATTATGCCAGGAGTGAGTGTGGCTGTACCTACACTCATCTCTCTGAGCCTTGATTAAACGAGAGGGGACAGACAGTGCCATCCAGAAAAGGTCAAGCAGTCTAGCCTGCATGTTAATTGTCTAATGTCAGAGCAGAGAGCCTCCCAAGAAACAGCTCACACATCTGCACAAATTATCATCACTGTTGGTAAACACAGAGTAAGAGCTGCTTACGGATGTGTCGGTTCGCAGATCGTGACCTGAAATTGACCTTTCATTAAAAATGCACAAGGCAAGTGGACACTGAAAACATCAACACCTAGTCAACATGTAGCATGATGTCAGTGAACTGTACGCAGCACACCGATGTTAACTGCCAGTCTGTGACACCTTACAGCAGAGGTTACTAAAGAAGTGACGGAAACAGAAGCTGTATCATGAGTTCAGGTTTAGAACGCATCTCCTGCATCCATTTCAGTTTGTCACATTTTTTTGGGTGGAAGCAACTTTATGCACATTAACAATTTTGATGAGTTTCTATGCCTGAAGTGTTACTCTGGTAAACTGGGTGGATCTCCAGGTTTTAATGAGTGGGAATGGGTTGCCAAGTTTGTTTTTTCAGTCACATCATTTGTTGGTTACACACTGTCAAAAACTACATAAATATACTGAAAATGTCTTGCACTGTTATTTATTCATTGTTCAGTTGTGCTTTTTTACTTTTTTTTTTAAAAAAACGTTTAAACCTGCATTCATTTATTATTCATTCATTTATTCATTCATTTTTTTGGCAACTTGGAGGAAGCACAAACAAACTGTAAACACCACGTTGACTTGTCACCTTATAAAGTTGATATGATGAATGTTTTAGCAAAGAGTTGCCTGTTTACAGATCTGGCAGACACTGAGCAATATTAGCATTCATTTGGGTGTGTATCAGACAACATGGCAAATGTAAATGCCCTTTTAGATATGTTTGTTCTCCAGTGAACTCTGAGGGAAATATCTGAAATATCTTTGACTAAATGCTCCACTGTTTTTAACAGTTGTAATGGTAGTATAGTATATAATAGTGTAGTGATTGTTGGTGTTTTCTGTGGAAAAAACACTGATGAGAGCTATAAGAGTGAACCAAAATAGTAAAGTTGCCGGCCAGAAAACCATAACAGTGAGCTTAAAGGAGCTAAAATATTCCACAGAGGTGAAGGGCACTGCAGAGTCAGATGGTAATTATGTGTGAGAAACACCTCTCACAGCACGCAAAGTCATTTGTTAATTTCTTAATAAAAGATATTGATTATTGCAGCTTTAAAGTATTCAGAGTTGCCCCAAGTACTAAAACAGTTTCATTTGAGTTCCAGTAAGAGTTTTATACACCATCAGAGACTAGATGCTGTGTCAGAGTGTTGTATGTCCTCAGCAACAACAACACTTTATGGGATGGGGAATAGGTATAATACAGTAAAAGTGTTTACTGTCAGAAAATAAGGTTGTTCTTGACAAAATCTATTTCGGGACAACCCGAGTAAGAGTCAAACTGAGTGGGGCAGACTGAAATAATGACATAATGAGAGAAGGGGTCGTCTTCCATTTTTGTCTGTTCACTGACTTTTAACAGCTCCCTGTTTAATGGTAGGCAGTTAGAGCCTCAGCGGGGAGCGTGTGCCAGTGGCGACTCCTTCTCGGCCTTCTTTCAGTATGTTATTTATGCACCCTTTTCCTCTGCCAGCCTGAGGGAGGCAGGCCCGTTACTCGGTGCCAAGTGAAGGAGGGCCAAGCGTCGTCTGGAATCTAGTTCACTGTCCCTCCCTCTCCAAACAGGAAAGCTTTTGGGATGTGGAGCTCAGCATCGTCAGCTGCTGTGGGCATCATGGTGTGGAGGCAACTGAAGCATGTGCCCACATCGTCATGGAGACAGTAGTACGCAGCAGTTTAGAAGAAAAAAAGATGAGACTTCTCCTCCCTCTTTTGTCAAGCTATTTTAAAACCTGGTGTTCAAGAGTCCACCCTCAGGGGTTCTCAATCCCTTCAACTTTTCACATCTCACAAACACTCAGAGAAAACAGTGTCACACACACACAAACATACATTCACATACCAAAAATATGCAGAGAAACTATCATATAAACAGACTAGCGACCCTGGCAGGAGTCCAACATCATCACACTAACTCATCTGTGGAAGACGCCTGAGCTCAGGTTCCACCGGGGAAGACAAAACATGATAAATAGGGAGACTGTCTCAACTGAATAAGCAAACCTACAGCACTGGACAGTGATAAACTGCAGGTTCTACAGGTTTAGTGATTTAGAGTGTGAGAGGATACACTTGGAGGAGAGAAACAATTAAACATTATAGAAAAAGTAAATGATCAGAGAGATACTTGATCAAACCTCCACAGTGGCAAGAAAGATCTCAGTGACCAATGTCCAGACCAGGGGTTAAAGACTGGTGGTATGAAGCACTTCTTAAAATGGTGAGCCTTATATTTTTCCATCTTATCAATGAAGCTGTAAAAGGTCTTACCACTGTCACTGTTGTCGTCCACCAGGATGATCTCCTTGAGCAGGTGTGCTGGTGTGTGGTTGACCACGCTGTGGACAGATCGCAGGATCACCGACAGTGCTTCGTTCACGAAGATGAAGACGACAGAGATCTGAGGAAGGTCCTCTGGATAGGTCAGCTGTTTACACCTGTTGAGACACATTTAAGATTATTAGTGCAAAACTACTACTGGACTTTGTTTTTAGCATATCATTCAATGAGGAAAACACATAGAATACCTTCCTCTGTACGTGTTTCTTTTGAGCAGCTACCTGACACAGTTGACTGGATGTATGTAATAGTTTGCTATTTCTTGCTGTTGAGCATTAGATAACAAGATTCATGTGTGTCTGTTAAAAATAACGTTACAGTCAGGAGACAACTGGCTTAGCTTAGCATAAAGACTTGAAAAAGCTAGCCTCAAAATGTTCACCTAGAGAGATTTAATGGATGGATGTGTTGAGTCAGCCTCACAGTTTCCTTCCACTGCCTGGAGTTTAAGATGCTTTTTTCCTATTAAATACAAAGTGAAACATTCAGTGTCACATTCCCAGTGCATTCCCATGGTGCATACAGCCTTTTATTTCTCTCCAAAAACAAAGATATGTATCCAGAATCTTTTTCCTCAGTACACCAAGCCAGCAAGGCAAAAATAGAATTCTTCTAAGATTTCGTTTGAAGGCCCAGTTTTATTTGATGGTAAAGCTGCAGCTCCCAGACCTGGATGTTCTGTACCGTACTGTGACTACAGCTGCTGTACGGCTCCAATACTGGGACTATATGTTGAGCAAAAATCCCAGTTCTCCAAAGTTAGGAGAAGAATGTATGTATTTTTACTGGGGGTTTGAAAGGCTCGTGACCAAGTAACCTTTGGTAGCACCCACTTATCATGTTCTTATTAAAGTCAGTGGTGACTCACTGACTTTTTCAATATTCAAAACTGGAGTGTGGCACTTTTACATTTAAATGAACATCTGTTATATTCAAACCCGTGCCAAACGAGTTCACACAACGCTGATTAATTCTATCAGCACCAGGTAAATCTCTCTGTATGTCTCAGTATACTGGAGTTTTAAATCTGGTGTCTGTGACAACGTTCCTGTGTTGGTAGAGTTGCATTTTATGTCAACCAGTAATGACTGGTTTGCAATAGCTGAAAAAGGAACCAACCATAGCAACAGAGATGGAGTAGGCTGCAGCAACAAGGAGTATGGTGGAGCAAAATAAATACGCTGCATATGAAAGTTATTTTTAGCACAAAAAACAATGTTATAGGTCTAAATTGAGCTACATGTGTCTGAGGAATGTTGTTCTTTTTTTTTTTACATCCAATGCGGTATTCCAACTGTGATCATGCTTCTGGAGTATCCAAGTCTTGTGTTTGCACATGTAAACATTTAGAAACCTAGAGAAGTTGTTATCCTGGTTTTCAAAACCTGAATATGTTAGCTGGACTCCTCCAGAATCCTGGAATCTGTGGCATGTAAACACTGCTCTGGCTGGATGAAGTCAAACACATGCCTGCACTGATAGACAAACCCGATCATTCATATCTCTGTTCACATCATTCTCACATTATCCTGGTTTCTTTATGTTCCATGTAAACATGAGCCCAGTAATGATCAAAACCAGGTACACCGGGATGTGTCCAATGTCCTCTTCCTGCTCAGCCTCCATCTCCTCCTTCATAACCTGGGCACTCTCTCACCATCACTTAGTCTCTGCCTCCATCTCTTGCTCTCATACATGGACTCCATGGTAACATCTGTGAATGAAATCCTACTTCGTGTCGCCACTTACACTGACCCAATTAATACAACAAACTGCAGACCTCACCATTCCAATGAACATTCACTTAGTTTCGTCACTCACACACAGTCTCTATCTTGTCACTCTCTGCTGCTGTTAATCTTTGCTCTCAAGTCTGTCAAACGTCCCTGTCATTTCCAGTAAAATACAGTATTTTTCCGTTGTCACAGCGTGGCTGTGAAGTCAGAAATAACAGTGTTGACTGGACAGAAGCACTTAGCTGATTCCGATGGCACCCTGTGAGCACGCGCAGACACGCACCAAGCATCTTGTGAATCTTTCCACGCCGTTCCAATTAGGATCTGAGCGCAACAGCTGACAAACACATTTCACTCTCTTTTGCCTTTGTTGCCCCATGTTTTCACATATCTTATTCAGCAGTACTGAGTCATTATGTGGAGATAATGAGGTGGCTAGTATAACTGTTGTGGTTTAATTATTTACAAGAGATTTTTGGCTGGGATGAAACACTTGTACTGCTGTACTGTATTAGAATATCAAATTGACATAAATCAACTATAGTGTAAACAAATCTATGAGTTCCATTTAGCTTCAGTAAATCCTGTTAAGCTCTCGAGGTCTTTCATCAAGGCAGAGTGGAGTTAAAGACATCGAAGTGACATATTGCATTTGCCAGGTGAAATACCACTCGCGCTAGAGCTATTAATGAGACAATATATTGATTTGTCAGAATGTATCAGTCTCACATGCTATCACAGATTATTAGATGTGACAGAGGCAACAAGTAAAGCTGAAAATCTGCACTTGGCAAGGATGTTATTTAAAAATGAATGCCTCATCATCCTGAATCACAAATTAAGGAAGCTACAGAAAAGAGCATCCTTAGTCTCAATAAGACACGGCAAACCTCTCCTAAATGTCCAGATGAAATTGTGGCAGTGCATACAGTCACTGCCTACAGGAAGGAGTTGCCAAATGTACGATCTGATATTATACTGTATTATTTGGTATACTAAAGCACAGAAAATTTATACTGAAGCTTTACATAAATGTAAAAGTGGCCCAGACGCTACTGATTTTCTCAATCACAATCTTTTTAGATATAAATATTGATAGTGTTGGTATCAAAGTCAAAATTGTGGTGCTGCAACGCTACCTTGAACATGTTTTGTTCAAAGACAGCACGTTAACTGCTCTTCCACCCTTGCTGTGAGCCATCTGAACTCTGCTGGTGCTCAGTGCTCTGATACCCTGGTGAACTGGGGTATCAGCTTGAGTCAGCAGCATCCACGGGGTCAGGCCGCAGGAGGACGGCCACACAGCAGATGGATCCCAGCGTGGCTTTAAAGTTGCATCCTCTTCTCTCCACCCAGTGAAACCCTTCCTTTACTCCACAGCTACTGGTTTGTGTTTGTCGGTGTGTGTGTGTGTGTGTGTGTGTGTGTGTGTGTGTGTTTGTGTGCGCGCGTGCGTGCGTGCGCACGTGTGTGTGTGTGCGTGCGTGCGTGCGGTGGGCATGTGTTAGCAGGTTCTCACCTTTCAACAATGACAATTGGCAAGAGAGGGACTAGCAATTATGTAGGACGACACAACAGATGGCATCTGATTTACTTGTAAAATTATATAATAAATGCTTTGCAGATCACGATAACAATGTGAGTACAAGGGATTTCTACTCTGCTCTTTGGGCTTTACCTTACATATTTTACTTTGCATATTTAACTCGAGCACCTGTCACATCAACTGTCACTGTAAATGAATCCCTTGCAATTTGAGCTGATTGCTTTTAATTAATTTTCTCAGAATTTAAACAGATTCTACCAATCAGTGCATACTGTTGCAATCAACCTAAAAGTCTCAGCTAAATGTCTGAACTTTAAATGCAAATAGGATGTGTGCTTTCACTGGAGTCTCACACTACAGTCATATTTCATACATAATTGAAAAGTAATTGAACAGGTGGAAGACTTTGGAGAAATAGCTAAATATCAGTTTAGTTTCAGAGAGACATTGAGAATCTCATATGAAGTTCTTAGACCTGTAAAGGTGATAAAAATGTTAAGAAATACTAAAACTATGGAGGAAGGCTGACATGTTAAGCTAACATTGCAAATGGAAATAACTGGTTTTTCTGACTTGTGTTTAAAATTGCTATTTAGATTGTAATTTTTTTTTTGTATGAATTAAAGAACAGGCCTCTATTTGTTGTCTACATAGTTCTAAAAAAAATATGATTGTACCAAGCTTTAAAATTGTCAAAGAAAAGACAACTTTAAGCAGAGGTGTAGTGCCATTAGTTTAAGCACCAGGGCACACACACAAACACAATGTTTAAATGTTTTTTATGTTTATGAATAGTTTCATCATGTTGGGAATACTACACAGCAGTCTGACAAACATCATGTGGATGTAGTAGGTTGTATTAGTGTGGCATTAAGCAACAGAGGCGAATGAACACAAGTAGTCTATGTTTTGAATGATTAATTGACTTGTGCTGAGCAAATGAAGCCACATTGGAAACATCCATTCTGAGGAGAAGCCGCAGTGCAGGCTGAGGTCAAGCTAAGCTAATAGGCTCGGCTGAAAAACGGGGATGTTTAGGGATGTTGTTAACTAGACAACATTCAGTTTGGCTGTGTCTGAAACTACTCTCCCTTTTAGATACAGCCTTGACGTTGTGCTATCACTTGATGAACATCTGTTAAATATTTAATTGTCTTCTAGCTCTGTATTTGGTCACCACCAAGTCTGTAGGAAAATATCTGGCTCTTTAGCTGTTAAATACTCCACAATGTTCCTGAGCTATGCCATACAACAACAGCAATCATATCACATCCATACACTGTTAGCAGTAGGCAACTGATACAGCTGTAAAAATGTCTTTTTAATGCACTGGTATCGGGTTGGTACTCATTATCGGCTGATACACGATAAGTTCAGGTATTGGAATCGGTATCAGTCAGGGAAAAATGGTATCGGAATCTTTAGTACTGTAAATATTATTATAAAGAGAAGGTCTAGACCTGCTCTATTTGGAAAGTGCCTTGAGATAGCGTATGTTGTGAATCGGCGCTATACAAATTGACTTGACTGTAACTAAATATTAGCAACTATCCATGCATAGGAATGACATTCTGCTGCCTATAGTCTCACTGGCCATGTAGACTAGTGCTTGATGCTCTAGACTGGGAGAGCTTAATTTCATGCACTGTTATCAATCACTTCCATTACCACAGCCCACATGCATTTGACAGCAGGGGTAACAAAAAGAAAACTAAACCACGGAGAGAGTTTATGATAGAGCACACTGCGTACGTCTATCTATACTTTAAGCCCTGCTCTTGCACTCTATTCTTAAAAGTAAATGCACAAGTGCTTT